TGTATAAACATTTAAAAGTCTCTAATTATAGTCTCTATTCATGAAATGTAATTATGTACATTTTTGGTTTTTATCAAAAACCAAAACATAGTCTTTTTAGATTATGAATCTTTCTTGGTTGCTATTGCAGAAATAGATTGCAGCTTCTGTTTGGGTGTCAAAAAACTGAATTTTACCTTTTCTATGGGTATTCAGCAAGTATAAGGAACAAAAATAATCATAAAAATGTGAATAAAGGCTAATAGTTTCGAAAGAAACTTTTTAGGGCTGCGTCGGTGGGAGTAACGAAATAATTTGGATATATCAACAAAGTTGAAGTGGTAAATTGGCCACCGTAACGATTACAAAAGCTGACGTTTCATTAATTCAGAGCAAAGGTGAAACATGAAATAACCGAATGTGGAAATTGAGGAGTCTAAGCATGTGATTCAATTATTAAGCAGAAAACAACTAATGACTTGAAAAATAACTCTTTCATATGGTGAATCTCATTGATGACAAACACATGGTCCTCTATACAGCTGCAGGTATTGACTTTACTCCCATCAGAATTACAAACCCAAAAAAGTTGCAAAATATCGAATACCAGGTTCAAATTGAACAAAGCAACATTTTAAATCTTTCGTGAGTGACTACTTTAGCAAGTAAGCATTTCAAGGGAGTTGCTTTTTAAAAAATTGAGTCAAGTTAATTCAACTTACCAGTCTGAAACTACATGTATTGATTATTTGATATGATTGCAGCAATAGGATATTGCTGTACACCATAAGTGTTTACTGAAGCAGCTGAATCCAAGTTGGCTACTTAATAGGAAGAATATTCTGTCCTCATGGCATCAACTGGTTACACTCACGTTATAGCCAAGTTTTCCTTGCTAAGGGACAGGCCATTGAAATTGTAAGTTTTGCAAGGGAGCTGGTGATTCACTTACAAAAACACAGAAAATTTTTTTCAAATCAAGTTATCAACAGAAAGTAGCCAACACAAACAATTGTCACATTATTAGCTTCCAAAGTTTCACCTTGGTGGTAAAACTGTAGTTTGGGAGATCTCATCATGAAATTATACCACATATGCAAAATTTGAATCATGGAAATTGATGGCGATTTAGAATTGAGACCTCCTCCTCCATAACATTCTGTCTCAGCTTGTTCCAAAAATGTCAAATATGAGGGTACTTTTCTTCTTACTTTTTCTTGTCTGAACAAACTTAGGTTTCTCGAGCGGGAACAAGAGAGCTACAACAACTTCGTATTTGAGTGGAAAACAACTGGAGACTATATTACCCTGACCATGATGCATAGCGCACCGTACCATCTCCCTTTCTCCTTTTTTTATTTATTTTTTTAACGGAACAGGATAAACACAACTCAGGCAGTAGCAATAAAACGTGTGAAAAGTGAACAGCGGTTCTGTAGCAGTTTTGGGCTGTAAGACTAGCAAATGTGAGAAGTGCTGGGTCTCACAGCATACTAGTACAGCAGCCAGTTAAAAGGAAATGAATACTAAACCAATAAAGTCTAAAAGAGAAATAAAAAAAGTTTGAGGAATGTAGTGATATGTCTATGTCATCACTGCATGTTCTGTTCGACATGACAGATAGGGGGAAACAGGCACTTCACAAGTCAAGGCGTATAATGGGTTTAGACACCCGTCCTGATCTGGTCTTGGTCAGGGTTCCTTCCTTCGGACCTGATTGGTGTGAACCATTCGAAGAGTGTGTTGCAGTTCCTGTAGGGTTCAACTCCATTGGGGATGGCGGGGTGGCTTCAGAGGGTAGAGCTTTCTGAGGCGATGCTGCTAGTGGTGTAGGGACTGTTTTAACAGGAGTTGCCCGAGTTGAGTTGTTAGTGATGGTTTGGCTCGGTCCTTTGGACGAAGGTGGTAGCGGCACAGGCTTGGGTTGTTTTGAAGAGTGGTTAACTGTAATTGTGTGTGGCGTTTTGGCAGATAATTGTTTTATCCAGGAGCGTGGGATTAGGGCCTCTGGGGGTGGGGGTGCAGCTGGACGCAGGTGGCACCGGTTTCTTCTTGTTAGCCCTGTGGGGGGGTCTCAATAATGTAAGATTGGGGAGCTGGTATTGCAGTGACAAGCCCATAAAGCCAAGGGCCTGACTTGTGGTTTGGCGCTGGTTTGGCGTAGACAAAGTCGCCGATTCCGAATGGGGGTAGATTAGTGTTCGCCGTCGTATGATAGTGTTGCTTGGCCTTTGCACGTTTTGCTGCAATAGTGTCGTGGACAGATGCTGCGGTGTTGTAATTTGGCAATAAGAGGACTTGGGAGACTGGGAGTAGTCCACGGATGCGTCGCCCCATGCTTCTTCGGGCTGGGCTCATGATGTGTCCTGCCTGTGGAGTATTGCGATAGGTGAGGAGGGCTTCTTGTAGATGGCGGGGTCCTGACTTCTTTAGAATCTGCTTCACTATCTTGACAGCGGCTTCTGCTTTGCCGTTTCCTTTTGGCCAATAGGGGGAGCTGGTAATGTGTTGAATTTGGTATTTTCCACAAAGTACTTCGAACTCGGTTCCAATGAATAAGGTCCGTTGTCGGTTAGGGAGTGTTTCAGGGACTCCATGACGAGCGAAGTGGGTCTCTGTTTTGGGCACAATGGTGCTGGCTAGAGTGTTTTCGACCTCGTCGACCTCGATAAAGTCGAAGTAGGGATTCGCAGTGATAAGGTAAGTGTGCGACTCAAACATGCAGAGGTCTTGGCTTAAGAATTGCCAGGGATACTGTGGGATGGGGTGGCTCTTCATGGGTTCTTTCGAATTCTGTGTTTGAAATTGGGCACATGTCCCACACGATTGGCAAGCATTCCGTATATCGTTCCGCATACCGGGCCAGAATATGATATCTTGACAGTGTCGTATGATTGACTCTGGGCCAAAATGTGCAACATGTGCCTTCTGAAGCATATAATTCATTTTAGCCAACGGAATGACTACTTGCTTTCCCTCATAGATGATCCCATCATGAGTGGTGAGTTCATCGCGATAGGTCCAAAATGGGTGGAGGCTTTGGGGAAGGTTAGACTTCTTTGTGGGCCAGCCAAGGATTATGGTGTTGTTTAGGGCGGTCGTAGTAGGATCATTTGCTGAGGAGGTTTTGATATCGTCAAGTGTTTAGGAGGTGTTCCTTGGGTCTTCCACGTGGTTGTCAATGTCAGCCCTGAAGACCTCGAAATTGGTTTGCTTGGAGTCATTGGTGGTGGTAAGTGCAGCTCTGGAGAGTGTATCAGCTATGAGGAGTGACGTGCCTTTCTTGTATGTTACTTTAATGTTGTACCGTTGGAAGCGCATCATCATTTTCTGCAGTCGGTGAGGAGCTGCATGAAGTGGTTTTTTAAATATTGTTTGGAGAGGTTGATGATCTGTGTGCACATTGACTTGTCGAATGCATATCCAAAGGTCCCATTTATCACACGCGGACACTAAGGCGAGGCATTCTTTCTCAATTTGCGCCCATGGTTCTTCGTTTGGACACATTTTGCAGGACGTGTAGGCCACTGGTTGAAGATTGCCAGAGTCATCTGGTTGTAGGAGGGCAGCTCCTAGGCCACCTTGGGATGCATCTACTTGAAGGGTGATGGGCCTTGTGTGGTCGAAGTAGGCTAAGCAGGGGGCACTCGTAATGAGTTGTTTTGCCGCGAGGAAAGCTGATTGGTGAGTTTCAGACCAGATGAATTCACGATCTTTCTTTGTAAGATCAAGGAGAGGGTTGATTGTCAGTGAGAGGTGTGGACAGAATGTGTTTAGGTAGTTGGCCATGCCACAGAATCTCATCACTAACTGCTTGTCGACTGGGGCAAGCATTTTGTTTATGGCCTTCAGCTTGTTGGGATCTGGTTCCACTCCCTTCTCAGAGATCACATGGCCCATGAAGGTTATCTTGGGTGGCTTGAATTGGATCTTCTGTGGGTTAAATTTGAGGTTTCTTTCTCGGGCACGTTTCATTAGCGCAAAGAAATTCAAGTCATGTTGTTTGTTTGCTTCTTCTCTTGTCCCACCTTGGCCTACAACAAGAATATCGTCTGCTATGCAGTAGACATCTTGCAGACCCTCAAGAAGCCTCATGAATTCGCAGCTGGAATTCCTCTGGGGCACAGCTGGTCCCGTAGGGAAGGCGCAACCAGCAATACCTGCCCCAGGGTGTGTGCATGGTGGTGAGTGGGTAGGATTCTTCGGTGAGGGCTATTTGAGTGAAACCATCCAGTGCGTCAAAGATGGAGAAGGACTTGTATTTCTGGCCTGATAGTCGGGGTAGTATTTCCTGAATGGTGGGAATCTGGTAGCGCGGAATAACAATGGCCTTGTGCAGTGTTTGGCTAGGGTCCAGGCAGAGTCGCACTTTGGTGTTACCATCTGGAAGAGATTTCTCGCGGATTGTCATGTTGCTACACCAGTTGATGGGTTCATCGACCTTCTTAAGTTTTCCGCAGTTCACCGTGTCATTCAGTTTTGCTTTTACTTTCTCAAGTTTTAGAAACTGGTATTCTGTGGACCCCTGCATGACATGGGGTGACAGAAGGGTCCAGGGTCAAGTGGACTGGTTGGCCCACAGTTCCCAGACCTTCGAAGTTATCCTTGTATGCTGATATCAAGTCTTCTTTTCTGAGGGAGCCTGGTTGCAAGTCTGTAAGGGGAAATGGCTGTTGAGGTCTCAGCTGAGCTGAAGTGGCCATATGGACATGGTTTTGGTTAGGTTTGGTGGGAGTCGTTGTGGAGGAGAATACCTTTTTGTGGTGGAATTTTATCAGACCAAGACGTTCACTGTCTCTGCCACTGATCAATGCTGGTTTTCCAGGGATATCCCTAGAGTCCATTATTTGAATTTCCAAGGTTTCAAAGTGGTAAACTCCTTCACGGGCCAAGCTGACCTTGCCAAGTGGGTAAATGGCTTTTCCAGAGTAAGGAAATATCTTCGCATGAGAGGGTTGCAGTGGGGCACTTTCTGACATTTTSCTGCAGATGGATGACGGAAGTGTATTGCATGTGGCTGCTGAATCCACTTGCATTAACACTTTTATGGTCTTATTGGGACTGATAGTTTCGCGCGCATGGAATCCGATTGTTTGTTCAAAGAGGGCTTCTATTTATTTAATAGTTTACATTTATGAACTTAACACGCGCAATTATTTATTTAAATATTTTAATATTTTAAACTTTTTACGTTTGCCACCTTCGTACGGTATAAATTAACTATTCATTTTTATTCTCTTCTCACTTGAGAATGATGACATGGAGTCATCGAAACGTTGTGTGTTTTTCTCGCTAGTGTTTATTCTTAAATGTCTAACAAAATCTAATGTCATTCGAATACATAAAAATTATTTCAGAAATTGTTTACGTCAAAAAATAGTCCAGTCTTCAAGACTGGGTTTTTATTATTCAGGGAAGGACCATTGAAAACATTATTTGGGCAGCTGGTCTGGCGAAATGCAGAAAAAGAAAATGCATGGGATTAGCCACGACAAAAAAAGAATCGACCTTACCGCTTGAGGAGAAATAGCATTATTCAGTCCAAGCGTGGCCAGTGATTCACACTGGAAGTGACTACATAGTGAGACAAACGATTATATTTCATAAACAAGCAAATCAAGTTCAGTATAATTATAATACAGCAATCGCACGTCTAATTAGAGTAAAAGATCGTCTGAAATTCTCTTCGTCGAGCTAATTACTGAATAACGAAGGAAATCAGAGCGAAGAAGAAGGCGCTTTTTAAAAAAATTATTTTAGAAGAAGCCGTCCTTTTACGTTATCCTTTTTTCATTTCTTCCATTTGCAAGTATGTAAATGCGATTCAACCCATTCTTATTGTCAGCGACAGGTGTGTTGAACAATTTATAATTGTCACAAAATTCTCAGGAATTCTCATATTATCAGACTCGTGCAGTCTCGCCTAAAAAGGTCTCAGTAGGCTTCCTAGCGACTAGATTTTCTGTAGCTTCCTTAAAGGTGCTTTGCAAGTACTTTTCGTCTCATGTGAGTTGATCAAATATAAAAGTATCGTGGTAGCTGCAAATGATTTCAAATTTCGTGATGCAAACGGTGTTCTGTATTCGATAATATTAAATAGAAAGTTGTTCTCCAACTACGACACTTTAAAGCCATGCCGAAAAGGAAGTGTATCAAGTAGAATCCTGCAAGTTCGAACTCCTGAGCAAAGCAAAACATGGCTTAAGTTATTGTGGGGGTTCGAGTTAGCTGATAGTCAATGACTGATGAAATTAAGTCGAGACAAATCGGATCTCGTTCGAGTTACAGGGGTTCTATTGTGATTTACTCCTTAAAAATTAAATTTGCAGCTGTCATTACCTGTCAGCACTAATTATTTCATTTTAAAAACCAGGTTGTAAGCACGACAGCAGCAGAACTGTTGGTCACCTCGAGAGTAACGAAACACGATAAAAGAAACAGAAGCTCTGCCAGTTTCTGAAAGCCGGGTTTCTCCAAAATGAATGGTGAAGTTGTGATCATGCCCCTTGCAGTTGCTGCTCTTTGGAAGATATTTTTCGTTTCTCACGTCTTTGCGCAAGGTTAGATTTAATCTAGATGAAAATATTGTGCGAACATTTGATGAGTTCTCACGCAGGTTTTCGATACCGAATATTCCACTAGCTTTGGTTTACCATTAAGTAGCTCGGAGGAAAAAATTGCAAAAATCACACTCAGTGATATAAAAGCGACGTTTCCTTTGGCAGTTATTAGCGTTAGCAATAAAGCTGTCGTTACAGATACGCGAGTTTATATGAGATGATGAAAAGGGATGGTGCATGTATTGCTTCTTTAGAGCGACGGATTGCAATTTTCCTAGTCTTTACGGCAAGTTTCAGAGTACTCCTAGCTTGGATGCACGAAAATGGTTATTTTTTGCAGTATTTTATATCAAATTTAATAACAAATGAAAGTGGAACCCTGTTTTGAGTAAAATCTTAGCTGGTCTAGCCTTTCCCAGAACTAATCGAAATACAATAAGAACTTTGAATTTCTTAGACTTTTATGATTTTTTTAGTTGCTCTTTATTTTAAGATACACACACGCTTTTGAAGTGAATTTGATCCGGTTGAATTTCCAACTGATCCGGTTGAATTTCTAAACTTCCAGATAGTGAGTTATCACGATAGAATCTTATTTTCATCCATTAATAATAAATTAAAATTAAATTTAAGGCAACCATGAATTACATGTGGTCTTTGGCACTCATCTATTTATGAAACCTTAAATTTTGCGCAAACTTTTTCGGAAAATGATCTTACTTTTTAAAGGGAAGTCGTGAATTTAGGCACAAATCGTTTAAAAACTTCCGCAGTAAACATCGGGACTTGTTAAGAATATGCGCTTCTTTGGTTCAAGCTTAACTAATTAACGATTTCTTTGACGCCACCTGTTTATATCCTCAAGTAAAATACACAATGTTGCGAGGCGCAAGAGCTTTCTTTGTGACAATTTTTCCTACGCAGCATTTGCAACCAATTCTCTTTTATGTGGACCAGAATTCCATTACAGTTGCCCAAAAATTCAACAATTCAATTGTTGCTTTTTAGTCCATTCAATAATTCCGTATTCATTATGATGGATAATCTCATTAAAAGATACAGCACCAGTAGCCTATTTAGCATAACGATATTTGTACACTGATTAACACAGAATCTGTTGAGGATAGGGAAACTGGATATAATAATTCTTTCTTATCGATGAAATTACACCTAAACTCTCGAGAGAAGAGAAAATATTAAGAGAAAAGCAAGCTTTAGGAACGCTTTTCCCTTTAACGCATACATGTATTGCTCTAACTTACCGAGAGCAGGGCCGTAGCTAGCACGAGGCAAGACGAGGCAATTGCCTCGTCTTGATTTGGCCCTTTTCCTTTTTTTTTTTTTTTTGCACCAGTATCGCTCGGCAATAAAAAAGTGAACTTCCACACTTGCCCATGGGGAGCCCTGTGGCATACACAGCTGCCTTACATCGCTTCATGTTGGTATTGGGTAGGTCTATTATCCCTTTCTTCTATCGTTTTCTCTGTTGATTTAGCATATGGCGTAATGGCGGACGGCCACGCTTTTAGGTCTCCCTCCAAATCGTCGCTAAACTGCCAATATGGCTACAAAGGAGGAGATAAGGGAACTCCTAGGACAGGAAATCACACCATTAAAGCTGGAAATCGAACAAATAAGTAGAACTTTTGATAGTTTGAAGACAACAGTAAGTCTTCCACAATTCTTCTAGCTTTTAATTTAGTAATCCGTCCCTCAACTCCCAGTTTCTTCTATGTGAATCCAAAAGAGATGGAGGTTGTTGACTCGATAACCTCGCGGTTTTCTTAGCTTCAATGAACGAACTATGGAACACTGCTACCTTTAATTTTTTTACATATGTATCCTTTCCTGTTTTTTATGTTAATATTGTAACTAAAACTTGAGTGCTAAATAAAGTAAAGTTGAAAGTTGATTTAGTTGTTGCTTCATTCTCAGAAAAGTGTAGAATTTTGGAGTTTGTTCAACCCGAGGAAGACAATTACCTCGAAAATCATGTCATTAAGTCCTTTCTGGTTGATAACAAAGATCAGTGTGAAGTGAGGTGTTATGCTGAGGACTCCTGTTTATCCTTCAATCTTGGAATCTCAGAGACCAAGGGCAAATTTAAATGTGAACTCAGCGACTCCGATCACTTCCAACATCCTGAACATCTCATTTGTAGGGAAGGCTTCTCCTATCATCCAACCATGGTTGGTATACTGCATATATTTCATTTTTGATAAATGCTTTTAAGCGTCTACCTTAGCAAGAAAGGTATCCTCTCTTGAACGTAGAAAAGACAAAAGTATCGTTTAGAAGGCAGATATGACAACGATCATCGAAAGACACGGCAGAAAAACAACGGCAGAAAAACAACGGCAGAAAAACAACGGCAGAAAAACAACGTTTAGAACTCCCCAAGGTTTGTTCTCTGTGTAGCTCTAGAATTCACAAAACTGAAAGAACTCTTGGGAGAAGTGCTGTAGGAGCAGTATCGCAGTATCTAATGCGTGAACTTTCAGAATGACTTGGATAAGTGTAGATAAGAAGAATTAAAACGTATGTTTGTATGGATCATTTCTAAAACTACATTCTCCTCATTCAGATGACGGGATACAGTTTTTACGTAAGCTACTATCGGCCGGTAGGGGTTAAAGATATCTTCATTCCGGACATCGAAAAACCTTTAGAAAATATTTCAAATCTCTGAAAAAACTGTACCACATGTTATTTCTTCGTAATATAGTTATTTATTTCGATGAAATATCAGTAGAAATCGTTTTAATCTTTTCCGTCCTCAACAGAAGTTATGTGGCACTTCTCCCTGTCCCCCAGCTGCTTCATGTGTACCCGATATTCACGGAAAACTCCGCTGCGTTTGTCCTGCTAGTTGGACTCGAACTGAAAGCTGCGAAAGAGGTTTGTGTTATTATTGCTAAATATCCTTTGAAAAGCACCTGTTTAACGTAAAGCGTTGCCTACAATGATCTACAACCTGAAAAATCGGCTTCGTCTTTCCCTTGTCACCTATTTCTTCATTCGTTTGTTAGTAAATAAACAGTTAATTGTAAGCGTTGGGCAATTTGACGAACAAAAGTGGTATGTTTGAGCAATATATTGGCATAGCTTGTAAAAATATTCCGCCTCCATCCTCTGTTTGCCCTTAACGGTCGTGGATCACTTTCAAGGGGTTAAAAAGAAGGGAAAGCAGGCCACATTTTTCCATCTTGTCTTAAAGAATCAATTATTTTGGAATCGAAATCTCAATAATTTTATCATCAAAGTTAAAGTAATCACAATATATTTACTTTATTTGTAAGCTACACAACCCGAAAACAACTGGATTAACTGGGATGTTCGAAGCATACGATAGCCAAGGTATCACAAGCACAGAAAAACCAAACGTTATTCTTACTCCTTGCGTTTTCCGCAAACGTGAAGCTCTTCTTTTTGAAATTGGAAACGTATTTCTTGGTGTGAAATGGTCCAGCAGTTTGGTCTTCGCCGTTCACCTTTGGCGTGGTACCTTTTTTCATACCACAATAATACCGGGAGAGTGGTGTAATAGAAGTCTTACAGAGAGAATTATTCTCCGGTGTTCAATTGTTAGTAACGTAGTCTTATTGTTATTTTGAAGATGAGGACGAATGTTCCTCTGGATCGCATGGCTGTTCAGCGGACGCTTACTGCAACGACACTGTGGGCTCATTTACCTGCACTTGTAAAGCTGGATTTTCAGGAGATGGCAAAGAGTGCAATAGTGAGAAATCGATATTTTGTTTTCTCTTTCTTTGTGTGTTTTTTGTCTTTAACTTGTAGAAGCCTTGTGATATTGTACCAGCAATATCAAAAGCGCTAAGTTTTTTTGCTGAGAAAGTAATGCAAAATTTCACAAATATTCGAAAGCCGCGAAAGTAATCATACGACGACGATCCATTCTTATCCAGTAATTCAAGCAAGTATTTTCCTTTATCTTTTAATAGAGGGAGATAGGTTTGTGATAGATGTATGTGTCAATCGGTGAAGTTTTGGTAGAGGATACTAATTTGATGCGACCGCCACAAAAAATTGGAAATTGCAAGATTTTTGGCTTGCGAAAAATTGGCAAATATTTGAATTCGCTCTAGTGCGACCTGGCCTTAAGTTGCCAGGTACCTTTTTTCGAACTACAATAACATCGAGAGAATGATGTAATCGAAGTCTTACTGAGAGCATAATTCTCCGATAATTGCTAGTTAAGGTAGCCCTATTGTTTGTTTTGAAGATGAGGACGAATGTTCCTTTGGAACGCATAACTGCTCTGCGGACGCGTACTGCAACGACACTGTGGGCTCATTTACTTGCACTTGTAAAGCTGGATTTTCGGGAGATGGCAAGGAGTGTAGTAGTAAGAACCGATTTTTTCTTTTCTACGTGTTTGTGTTTTCGTTAGGCAACATTTTTTATCTGCTAAAGTTATCCTATCGATCTACTAAGTTGCCAGTGTTTCTTTTTTAAATCGTCTGACCCCTTTTTAATATTGCATTTACTATTACATTTTTTCTTTTTTTTCTAATTTTTTTTTACCATTTTTAACAGCTTAATCTTTTTAATATTTATAAATTACACCTTTTGCTTATCATTTGGGCGAAAAAGATATTCATTTTCGCGAAGTGTAGAATCAATATCGCGAATATACATTCTATAACACCAAGAAGCACTTCATTAACGCCACAGAACATTCATGAGCGCACTTTGCATGTTTATAAACAATCAAAAGTTTCAACGAACAAACAAGAGCATCTATCGACAATCAAGGACGCCAAGTGGACATTCAAACGCGCGCAATTGACAATCAAAAACACCACTTTGGAAAAGAAAATCAATAACATCTTCGGACAATCATGAGTGAAAAAGGAAAATTCAATAAGACGTACAATTAGCATAGAGAGGCGCAATCAATGGCGTCAAGAGACAATTATTCATTGCAAAGTAACATTCCATCCCGCGATTCGAACAATCATTTGAATGATGCGTATGTTCAATCGGAAGAAAAAAAGTGTTCATTAGTGAGTTCACGACCAGTTGTCAAAAAATAACAAACAATGGCCAATAAGTAAGAAAGTACATGTACAATACGTGTACATGTAGGTTATCATTTAAATTTGATGTTGCTCAATCTTTTCCTGAGACAGCTATAAAAGGAGGAATATCTTTGAACGTAACGCTGTCCGCGAAATACAGGTACATGTACAGTACAGTACTGTACAAGAGTCAAAGAATGCCACCCAGAAACCGAATCTCTCTGCAACAACGCGAAAGGATTGTCCGCGCCTTTGAAGATGTCCACGAAGATTATTTGGCGATTGCTGAAATTATAGGAGTAAATAGATCGACTGCAAGAGGTATAGTTTCACGCTGCGTCCGAGAAAGAAGGATAGCTGAAAGACCGCGAGGCGGCGCCAATCATGTACGAGTAGATGATGCCATGCGGGACTGTCTACATGACAGAAAATTGCCTTCTAAAAATTGCCGAGATGAATCGCGAATTGAGACTACGCCTTCCACATAAGCCGATAATTCACGACCATACCGTAGCGAGAGCTCTCGAAGGAATGTGATATCGAGTGAAATTGGCAAGACCTCTGCCGGCTGATAGAAACCGCCCTGATGTGCTACAAAAACGAGTAGAATATGGAAACTGGTTCATGGGTCATGCAGTCGTAAATCACACTGTATTTATAGATGAGTGTGGCGACAATATTTGGACCGCACGAAGTCAAGGACGAGCTTTAAGAGGAGAGAGGGCCTATCGTCAAGTATGTGGTCAGCGAGGAAGAAATGTGACTGTGGCCTTGGAAATTTCCCCAACTAGTGGTCTAATGTTTCACTCAGCAATACTCGGAGGCATGAATGCACGAAGATTTGATGATTTTCTCGTGCAGACAAGGCTAAATCTCGACCCCAATGAACACGTGATTTTTAGTTATGATGGTGCGCCAGCCCACAGGAATCCTGCCATTCCCGGAATTAAGAAAATTGCCATCTTACAGTCCCTTTCTCAATATTGTTGAACAAGCTATTAGTGCCTTGAAAGCTGCAATATAGGCGGATATAAGTCGTCCTGGAATTCAAGTACAGATGAACGACCGCGCTGAAGCCAGACGTCAAGGACTTGCCTTGGGAAATTACCGCACGCAGTTGTTACTTCAAGCACTAAAGAGGAATATTGGTACCATCACTGTCGTCAAATGTGGACAGTGGTTAAGGTTTATGCAGACGTACTTACCAAGATGCATCAAAAACGGAGCAATCGAAGGATAATAGCCTTAAACTAGGAAACAGTTTTGAAATGTTGTTTCCCTTTATTGTTTGTAATTATTACACAAATTTTTAACGATTCGCGGGATTGAATGTAACTTTTCAATAAATGATTGTCTCTTGACGCCATTGATGGTGCCTCTCTATGCTAATTGACTTCTCGAATGTCTCTTTTTCACTTACCATTGTCACAAGATGTTAATGATTTTCTTTTGGTGTTACTGATTGTCAGTTGCGCGTGTTAAAATGTCCACTTGGCGTCCTTGATTGTCGATAGATGCTCTTGTTTGTTCGTTGACACTATTGATTGTTTATAAACATGCAAATTGCGCTTTTGAATGTTCCGTGGCGTTAATGAAGTGCTTCTTGGTGTTATAGAATGTATATTCGCCTTATTGATTCTACACTTCGCGAAATTGAATATCTTTTCCGCCTAAATGATCAGCAAAAGGTGTATATTAGGGGAGGGCCACAAGTTTGCCAGCTCTTGACTGTAACTGTCACCCTCGGTAAATAGAGTTTTTATTATTTATTATTATTGTTATAAGCTCAGGTTCTTTATTGCTTCAGCTCGTTTCATTTTACGCCTAAAATGGCTGCAACCCGTCCGTATAGCACTTCACTAGTCCTGTTTATCATTACATTTGCGAAAGCGAGAAGGTACAAGCCAAGATGAAAAATATTGTTTATTCCATCTACGTACAGATATCAATGAATGTGAAACCGGAAGTGCCGAATGTCACGTGAATGCCACTTGCAACGACATTATTGGGAGCTACATATGTAAATGTAGGGACAATGTGGTCGGAGATGGATTCTTATGCGTGGGTAGGTGTTTTGATAAACGTGTATTGTATGAGCAGTTTATAGACACTTAAAATCCACTTTAAGCTCGAACAAAGTACAACTGTGCAATACCGTGACTAACGCGGCTTATTGTAGGAGTTATTTCCCTGTTTTTGAAGCATGAAAGTAAATAAGAATATAAACAATTTTAACATCGGAGTCAAGGGAATCACAATATTTAGTATTTTACTCGCAAGCTGCACTACCCGAAAATAACTGGATTATCTGAGATGTTTGAAGCATACAATAGCCAAGATCTCACAAGAACAGAAAAAACAAAATGCGTATTATATTAGAAGTTTATATCCGCTGTAAGCTCGACAACAGCCGTAGAACCCTGCAATATAGCAACCGTAAGGCTCATCATAAGAATTATTTTGAAGCATGAAAGTAAATAAGCATCTTCTCCACGAAAGGTGTATAAACATGCTCTGTCACTTTAGGAAGTATCAACTTCAAGCAGTTCAATTCGTGGATCTTCGGACAACCAGACAGGAAATATTTCAATTCGTCCATTTGCTTGTCAACTAGACTTCTTGTTTTTGTTTGTTTGTTTTAAATTTCGTTCGCGCTTCAATATCTTTAGTACCAAAGCAAACAAATACCATTGTGAGTCAGGAATTTAATAAATCGTGATAAAACAACACCAGTATCCATTTTTTATTTCAAAGGATTCCCTTTTCATTTTGCACTCAACGGGTCTGATCCAAATATAAGGTAAGATGGATGAATGCATTCTTCTGCTAGGAAGAACATTTAATGCTACTGTTGTGAAAAGTTCAAATTCGTGCTTACAATTACAAATCTCCTGAGCGATTGGAACTACTAATGTTTAGCCTGAAACTACACAGAACTGTAATGATGCATTAAACTCTGGCTTTAATAAATTAATTCTTTCAAAATACAGGGCATAATTTATTGGCTTTCACAAATGAAAGATTTCATAATATTTTTGAGAATGCGTTGTACCAAGAGATTATAAACTGGCAGGCATGGTTAATGCTATCTGGTTTAAAGATTTAATGATGTAAGCGAAATTAAAATTCATCGGCCCAACGTTTCGACACTCCTGTCTAGTGCCTTCATCAGGGGTGTCAGATCGTTCCAACAAGAAGTCCTTTTATATCAGTGCTCATTAATCAGCTGCCGTTTTTTCTGGCGAGGTGTAAATAGGCGTCAGGTAGTAAGCCGCCATCATCACGATTTAAAGGAGCGTGGGCGGAGTTGATATGCCAAGCTTCCAAACAAAGGCGCCGGCGGTAGCGGCAATTAGTGGTGATAATTTTCGAATTATCCTACCCAATGGTATGGTTAGTTAGGCATGTGTACTCCGTCAAAGCTGAAATTTCCTTTTTTGCAAAAGAAGACCGCTTTCTGTTGCTCTTTCAACGTGTACCAAACCGACGTTTGGTCTGTCCTTTATGCTAGTTGAATATAAACTGTTCAATCTCTTGTTTGTATCCAACGAACATAACCAGTTTTTCTCTGCAGCGTTTACTTCTGCGTTTTTCCTGATTTACTCTTGAATTAAAAAAATTTAATTAAACTATCTCATAATGGGGATGTTTTCCGGAGGGGTTAAATAAGTGGCCTTTCTTGGAACGCTTTTAAACACGAAGGCGCGCTATAAAAGGAGCCTTAGGTCCCTCTGGACCATTTGTCAATCAACCTTCGTGTGCTGTAGAACTCTTAGAGTCAACTAAGCTTGAGCTACAGCTTCTCCAAAGCAGTGAACAGGGGGCGCATTCCTCAAAATTGTTTTATGTCTTCATCAAAATACAAGAATTTTTGAGATTTGTATTTCCTTTTTCCAATGGAAACTGTCTTTATTTGTGGCGGTAAATTTGAGATCGAAGTAGGTTGTTCGCACGTTACCTCATGCCACCATGCTGGTGGAAGTAAACAATAGATATCTCATTAGCTCTTTTTTTTCGTCTATCAGCATTTGAATTTGACCCGCACACATCAACGGTGAGTGACAAATGAGCCTAGGTCTTCCCAGGGAAGACTTCCTTATATAGTGCGCCTTCGTGTTTAAATACTTTTAGATAATGGTGACATTATTTCATTTAGCTACTTGTACAGAGGATTCTGCATAGTCTACTTTGGTATGTATATTGACACATGTATCTCCCTTATTTTCATGAATTGAAAAGTTTGTACATTGGTGCTTCATATCGAAATGTTGATGGCAGGACAGTACTGTACTTGAATGGAACCCAGCGTGCCTACGCAGAAACCCCAGCACTCCCGATCCGAGCTATCAGCTTTAGTATCATGTGTTGGATTAAGGCTTTAAGTTCTCCAAGTCATCCCTCTGTACATCATATCTATTCTGACTGGTCAGAACCACATCAGTTCAGAATCTATATTTCTGAATCTCGAGAAATTTGTGTTAATCTTCGGGATCCTCAAAGACGTGATATGATTGATTACTGTCACCGGTAAGCGCTTAAGATACACCTTGTAGTTCCTACGTATAAATTAATAAATAGAAAGAGACACGTAGAGCACTTAAGTATGTATTCCAGAGCTATTTACCTTCCTAGGGAGTATACTGGAAAGCAGAGGTTTGTACAAAGCCTCATTCTTTTTTGTGTTCTATTCCCTCATTATCCAAAGAGAAATCATCCCCAATAAATGGATGCACGTGGCTTTCACTTGGAGCCGAGATAGAAAAGAGGGAATTCTGTACATAAATGGAATTGGAAATGGTAAGAAGAGAAGTTCTAATGTTCATTCGGACTTGATCAAAAATGAACATAAAGTTTTCGACATTGGGCTGAAACGAGATAGCATGGATTATCCGACTTTTAATGGGTACATGAGAGATCTTCTGGTTGTTAATAAAGCGCTATCTGAAGATGAAGTGAAGCACTTAATAGATATACTTTGAGGGAGAGCACTTGGCGTGAGGACCCCAAGGAGACTGCGGCAGCACGGGGCAACAGAACTTTCTAGGTGCTGAGATGTTTGGCCATTACAGATCGCTTGAAATGAAATCTTCAGGAGGTGTGATGCTTTCTCGTTATGAAAATGGAAAGTGCAGATTAGCTTGAACGTAACAATCTTTTAAAGAAAACGATCCCTTGGATATCATTACGTGGACAAGAAAACAAAGAGGCATAAAACTCCTTCGACAAGCCCTAAGGCGGAAACCAAAACAGGTGGAATGGAAAACGTGGAGCGAGTCGAGCGGAAGAATTTATTTTAAGTTGAAGCTGCTATACGGTACAGGCTTCATTTTTTTAATCTCTGATAATGCGTGACTCACACGTAGTTTTATCTGTCTTGACTGCGAGAAAAATCGCTCATTCGTCAGTGACCATGTACTTCTGCTTAAAAGAATTTCAACGAATTATCTATAACCGTATCTAATTGGCTAACTTCGGGTTTTTATGCAGCGTCAAAGAAACGCTTAATGACAGTAAGTTCTAAATTTTCGGTCCACCTTTCGAATGCTAATAATAATTAATTCAGAGCACGAAGAGATTATAAACTATCTCTTGTTCATCGACACACAGAGGCATAATTCAACAAAAATTCGCACCTTTTTGCTTATCATTACTAGCTTATCATTGATGTTTTCATTTTCTCCTAAATGGCAGGGCTACCCTGCGAGCAGAGCCTCTTCTTTTCTTCTTCTTTTCTCCTTTTTAATCCTCCAAGGGTTATTGTACTTATCGTAGTGTAAGTCTATGGAACAGTTTGGATAATACACTCAAACTCTGTAATTCTTCTCGTGATTTTAAGCATAAACTTAGAGCCAAATTACTTGCTGCTTTCCTTTCTCGTCGCTCTTAGTTGTAACTTGGCGAACGTTTATCAACATTTTAGCTTCCTTAATTTTTCTATTATACTTTTTAGTATTGTAATTTTGTAATTTTTAGATCATTGTCACCAAAAAACCCTCTTTAGGGAGAATCGATAAAGTTTGTATTGAATTGTATTGTAAGGGAAAAGGCTCTGCCGACATCCTGTTCTTGCTTTGAAATACCGAAAGCCCAAAAGTCCGGGCTACTCAAGCCGGTTTTGCCTCCAGTCAAACCGGTTTTGATGCGCACGCCTTTGTTTTTCATGTACGCAGATGACCAAATCTGCGCCCACAATAGTCCAAGGGGGCCTGGAGAGTCGGGCCTCGCCTGGAAAAGGATCATTTTCTCGGCAACCGCCGCGCATGTTTAAACAAGCAACAACAGTATCTCGGCAGAGCCTTTTTCCCTTTTCGATTCGAGGATGGGTTAAAAAGGCTCTCCTCAATTACCACTTTTATAACATCCATTTTGAAATCACCCAAATACAGGACTTGGTCAATTCAAATTATTTTATTGATGCAGTACTGAGCCGGTTTTTAAACACGAAGGCGCGCTATAAAAGAAGCTTTAGGTCCCACCGGACCACTTGTCAATCAACCGTCGTGTAATGTAGAACTCTTATAGAGTCAAGGCTGATAGTTTCGAAAGAAACTGTTTGGGGCTGCGTCGGTG